GTGGTGGGGGAAGCGGGGTGTTTGCCATTGTACCTTCCAGTGTGGCATCCCATGACATCCCCAGGCAGGGCGCAGTCAGGGGGAATGGATGTAAGGCAAGTAACCTACCTTGGGCAGGTCTCAGGGACCGCGGCCTGCGACGGCTGAGTTGGCCAACTGTAGAATCCGTTGCAAGTTCCACGCCCGCGATGCAGTGGCCGCGTGCAGCTCTCTAGGCCATGGTTGCAACTTGTTGGCTGTCCAATACGGAGTATGAGGTGGCGGATTCGACTGCATGTATTCCGTAACCCGTCCAGCAACGTATAATGTATTTTGGAGCCACATCAAAATGGTCAGGCGAGGCCAGGCAAGACGGCGTTGATTGCTGTGGTTTATGCGACATGAGTCTCGATCGGGCCAATCGGCAACCCCTCTCCATCCTCCGGAGCTGGGCTGTCCTGTCATCGGGTCCATCAGACCATCCCAGAGAAACGTATGCCGCGAATAGATATATGACCGTGTGCTCACACTAACATCGTGTACGTGTACGTGAAAAATAAGATTTGAACAGTCAGACGGACTGTAGTGTCATCTTGAAGGAATACCAAGGGGAATACGGAGTGGGTACCCTTACCTTACCTGCTTGAACCAAAGACGAGGACGGGCAGCTCCTTCTTCCCTGGCTTTGCCCTGCGGCCGCGGCACAGCCGGCAAGCCACAGACGCATCCCTGTCCCTGGGAGTCCATGTTCGCCGTTGAAGAAAGGGGAACGGTGAGTGTGCAGAAACATAAAAGGCTTCGAGTTTCGAGTCCGAACAAAACCGCACACCTGGTCAAACAAACTGGCACTACCTCGGACTCGGATCCAAAATAGGCCCAAAATTAACACAGACAGCACACAGTGGAAAGGACAGCTTGAACTGCCCGCACGGTAAACCACCCGGCACCTTCCTGAATTAGGCCGAATCTTGGCGGCCTTTTCGTGGGGCCGCTCAATTACCAATTACGTCTTGAAACTGAAATCTCCCCGTCCTGGCGCTCTCACACTGTCCACCCCTCTTTTTTGACTTGGGATGTGCTGAAGCATCGTCGTCATTCCCTGCCGATCTGTCCTGTCGCCAAAGCAAAGCAAAACACCAACCTCGAGAACAAAGCCAGAGCCGTCCGTCTCCATTTTCGTCTCCATACGGCCGCCCCATCCGTCTCTGCTGCCTGCCACTCACCCGCCAAACGCTATTTTTCTCATATTAAAACAAAACAACCAACTGCAGCACGGGTTCACGGGGTTGCATTGGGCCCGCCCGGACAAATCTGGGAACGGGACGCCTCGGGACAGACAGACAGACAGCCAGCCAGCCAGCCAAGGACCTTTGAGAACCCTTGGAACCCAACCTTAGATCCGGAACCAGAACTTGTTGGTGTCGGTTTCAGAGACGGGAGCTCGCCAGTCTGCAGTCGCGCCACCTCAGTTGGGTCAGTCAGGCCAGCTCCGCGCCCAAGAACAGGTATGTATTACCGTGCAAACTTTCAACGTGTGGTGCATGCCCTCTTGGTTATTGGTCCCCCGAGACGCAGGCTACTTTACGATCGATATACTCGCGGCGAATCGGGGAGCCGGCCCACAGGTCACGCAGTCTTTTTTTGCGAGAGAAACGTTTTGCTTTACCCCCTCCGCTACTGCTCTCAGCCGAGATTGAAGCTGGATGTTTCGTAGTAGCGGCTAGCGAGCGGCCCCGTATTCCACGATGGCATCCCGCTGACCACCCCTCGCGCCACCTTCTAGGTTCTAGATCGATCCGACTTGTGGTCAGCTAAAGAGCGAGCCTCAGCACATACCTTACCAACCTACCTGAGCTGAGAAACTTGAGACTTGCGACTCGATTCCAGCCCAGCCCGATTCAACAAGCCGTTCCTCGTCTTTCCTCCCCAACTTCCAGGGACATCCCCACATCTACCCGCCATGAGTCTGGCAAGCGCAACGCCGCTGCAAAGCGGCCAGCCAATCCCCAGATTGGCAGAGCCGTTCGAGTCGGAAGCCGTCGGTGGCGACATAACCCCAAGAGCGGTGCCCGACGGCGAGGAAAAGAAGGGCAAGAAGCGCGGCCTGTTCGGCTTCGGCAAGAAGAAGACGGACGAGACGGCCAAGTCCCCCACTAAGACTGGAGCCACGCCCAAGGACATCGCTACGACAAAAAGGACCGCCACGTCACCTGTTCGCTCCATGCCGACCTCGCCCGGCCGTGGTTTCCCGTCGTCGCCCCGCCTGGCGTCTCCCGCCGGCAGCCAGATCTTTGAGCGCGACGTGCAAGAGAGCGCTGTGGTGATTCCAAACTCGCCCGCGATTCCCTCGCACATCCAAACCGAGAACTACATCCCGCCCGTGCTCGACGCTTCGTCCGAGGCTATCACAGACAGCCATCTAGACCCTGACAGCGTCGAGATCATCACACACGCCTCGCACCAGCCCGCCGCTATGGGAATGTCCGGCATTGGCATGGGCTCCGGCTCAGGCCTGCTCGAACCGAGTTGGGCCGACGAGCTCGCTGCCTTCTCCTCAGACGCTGACCGCACGGTTGCCGACAGTGCCTCCAACTACGGCAACCTGGACACAACCGACATACGACGACTGAGCTTCATCTCGTTTGCCGACGTAGTACAGGCAGAGCACCAGCACACGGCCGGAAACGGCCTCGGCGCGGGCTCCCGCGACAGTATCCACATGGCCGGCCTCACGAGCCTGGCATCGGTCGGCATCACGAACCGGTCGCCAAGTCCCATTCGCTCGCCCGTGTCGTCCGCTGGCGGCCCTGGCACCAGCCCCCCAACGAGCAAATCGGGCTCCGTCAAGGGCCTCGAGATGTCGCCCAGCCGGAAACCACTCGGCAGCCCCTCCAGTATGCACCATACCATTCCCACCAGCATCGGACCCACGGTCACGGGCGAGCTTTCCATCGAGACCATGTCCGAGGCCCTGAGAAGGACAGGCAGCGGCGATCTCAGCGGCGTACGAAGTTTCCCGACCAGCCCGATTTGAGACGGCGGTAGGTCCGGATACGGGTAGGAGCGAACATCAGGAAGCAGGGCGCGGCGCGTCCGGTGGCGGCCGAATATATAGGACGCTTTTATTTTCAGTTTTTCTTTCTTTTCTTTTTTACGACTTTTTTGGGGAAAGACTTTCGGATGGGACCCATGATACCTAGCGGCTGGCTACTTTCTTGCTGATGTTTGGTGCTTTTGTTTTCGTTATCTCCCTTTGGAATGGATGGCAGGTGAGAGGCAGACTATTCGCTTCTCTGGAGGGGAAGAGGGGGGTGAGGGACTGGATGGAGTATTGGTGTTTCTTTTTGTACGCTGGTTTACTTTTTCTTCGTTTCTAATAACCATACCTTTTTCCATTCACCTTTTATTTCATTTACCCTTTTCCCCCGATTACGTGTCCCTTGTTTCATTCCTTTTTTTTTCGTTGCTCTCAGATAACTTTGTGCTGGAACTGGCGCTGCTGGACGTATACACGTTACATACTGTCATACTCACATTGCTCGCACTACTAGGTACCAATGTAAAAACGATGTGTGTAGAAAAAACAAAACAAAGACGAGAGGGATGAAGGAAACGAGGTTTTTTGCGGCTAGGGGCTTTTTATCAACTACTTTTGTGTTCTACTTTTTCAAGGTGGTGTAATTAGATATGAGTCTGGTGCTCAGTCCTCTTCGTGTATAGGGAGGGCCAAGAGATTCGGTTCGTCTGTCTGTCTGTCTGTCTGTCTGTCTGTCTGTCTGTCTGTCTGTCTGTCTGTCTGTTTTGTTTGGCCTTGCTCTTCTATTTCCGTTTCTGGAGAAGGAAGTGAGCGCGGAGAATGTGAGAAAATGAGAGAAACCAGTCGGTCACCCTGGTCAGTTCACAATGTATGTGCTTGTGTGTTCAGTAAGGCAGCTTATCTACCTGTATGTATCTGGGCAGCTGCCGTCTAACTTACTTTCCAGTTACCTCCGTGATTCTTCTCCGAGATTTTTGGTAATTGTTTGTTTGAATCCAGCGGATGTGAGGCATGGTTGTTGATGATTCGTATAGGGATGGTTTTCACGGCCAATCTTGGTGAGATTTGAAACGTATGACACCGTGCATTGCTTTCTCTCATTGCTCCTTGCACTTGATACCTCATTGCTGTAGTTGGTGGTCTTGGGAAGATGGAAGATAGTCGGAGCTGCTTTCCTTGAGATGGGGGGATGTGGTGGTGGCCAAGTTCGTTATTTCAACAGGCGCCTCTGATGAACGGTGCTCTGTAAGTATTTGATCTATGTCTTGTGCGTATATGTCTTGTGCCCGTTTTATCTTGATAAACCACAACCGTTCTAGCTACTTGTATGAAATTTATCAAATCGATGATGAATCCCTTCTGTAGCACCTAACTTAATAAAGTAAGGAATGAGGTTAAATCCAGGTAAGGTCTAGATTAGACACAGAATATACATCCAGCAATGATACAAGTTGGGCATTTACATGAGGCGGAGACGAAGATAATAAGGAGCGGAGCTCTGGCAAAGAAGTCCGAGTAGACAAGATATTTAAATTTTCTACGACTCAAACGCGACTATAAGCCTTATTGAATGCAGGCGATGAGATGCCACCGTCAAAGCGAAGAATAAATCTACTCAGATGAGAAATTGAGTAATTACCTATTAGAATCTATTTAGAATTCGTTTCCCGAAGTCAAATCCAAGACACTGCGATACTCGAGATAAACCTTCACGTACGAGTAAAGATCGCATCCCTTCAAATGCCAAGAATACACGCAGGTGCAGGCGAAATACTCGAGAACAAACCCCCCGCTTTTCCCCCCATAGATTGAGCATCGACAAGCGAAGCAAAACGCCTTCCGATTGGAAGGTCTAGAATCGTCTTGCGAAACGCTGTCGTTAAATTCCACTCTGCAAACTCTAAAACCCCACTAATTAGTAAGTAACCAACAGACTATACGTACCAGATTCCCGCATTAGTTCCATAACAACAACACAAAAAAAGACACAATGTCCGAGTGGTTAAGGAGACAGACTTGAATTACTCAATATTCAGGGCCATCTGTTGGGTTCGCCCGCGCAAGTTCGAATCTTGTTTGTGTCGTTACATTTTTGCATCTTTTCTCGAAAATATCTATTGTGACTTTTTGCTTACTAGAGATTTAGAGCGTCGCCTCTTGTGGTCGTGCCTCATTTTTTTGGTCCTGGCTGCAAGCAACACTTACTTACCGTGGGTATCATGGGGGTCGTCGTATCGCAGCTGCAATTACACCAACATGGTGACACCCTTTTCATTCCACAAATGGTAACCACCAAATCTGCATTCGACCGAGTTGCGATGCGATCGTCGTTCACCTACCTCGTATTTGACAACATTCACTCCATGCTTTTTTCTTCTTCAACTTCATTTTTTTCCTTTGCACCTGCCCCCTAACAAGAAATTCAAAACCCCCAAATAGGTAGACATATCACCACCCTCTCCTTCACCCTAATGCCTCATCCTCTTCCCTCTGACGGCACAAGAATTGTGCCCCGTATAAGCTCATTTTAGACAAGAAATGCGCCAGGGCGCCTAGGATCGAGCATTTTCAGAAGACATCGGAAAAGAAATCAGAACAGCCAGGCAAGCTTAAAGCAGCCAGATTTGTGCTGGATGGGTGGCTGCTAGACAGAAATATGGTTAGAGGGATGTAATTAGGATGGTCACTATTGATAATCTCTTCTTTTTCTACCATAAGCGGCAAGCACTCAGTCCATTGTTCCCAGCACACATCTGCCAAAGAAACGCCGCAATTGACTAGCAAGCAACCGCGCTGCCGTCTCCCTTGGTATACTAATTATACAGTATTCCCACACTTGATTACCCAACCGACCGAGACATTACGTTTAAACTGGTTTCCCAAAATATATACAGCCCGAAGAAGAATAAAGAAATTGTTGGAATGACGCGCATGTCGGTCAGGGAGCTCTGCGGCTTTGCGGCTCAGCCACACTATGGCTGTGGTGGCGCAGAGCAGGATATATATCGGCCTACGGCCGCCTGCTCAGGGCAACAAGATCTAAGAACACATAACGAATCCATCACTTGAACCACCAGCTCACAGCGCGCAGCGCACCCTGTTGATTCCAGAACCGGTAACCTGGTGATTCCAACAGAAATACACCGAGTTTAGTGACTCGAAACACCTCAGATGTTCATATCACCCTTCTCGCTCTTCTCGCTCTTCTCGCTCTTCTCGCTCTTCTCGCTCTTCTCCAAGCCTGCTGTCGCTGGTACCGGTGTGACACCGCCGTTCTCGAGGCCGTTATTGACTTGGTCCTCGCCAGGCTTGAAGGTGCCCTTGGGCAGCAGGTTGAGGCGGTCCTCTTCCTTGTCGAGGCCGCGGAACTGCAGGTAGAACAGGATGCCGCCGATAGTAGCCGCAACCGCCACGACACCGTAGTTCCAGATCAGATAGGGGTCCTCAGCGAGGGGCACGAGCACGAAGCCCAGCGCGCTGGAGATGGCGTTCATGAAGAGACAAATAGACTGGACGACGGAGCGCAGGTTCGCGGGCGCCTTGGAGTGCGTGTACTCGAGACTGGTGATTGAGGCGAGGACCTCGGAGAGCGCGATGAGCACGTACGAACCTGTCTGGGCCCAGATGATGAGGTCGACGTTGGGGTAGTCCCAAGCGTGCCAGCCGTAGTCGCTTTTCTTGTAGATGTAGTACTGAATAACGGTGGCCCAAACCATGACCCCGGCGGCGACAAAGTAGCCCGCGGTAATGCGCTTGATGGGGGTGAAGTTAAGCCGCAGCTTGCAAATTGCTGGGTACACACGTGTCAAGCACCGGGATCAGGATGATGAGAGAAAACGGATTCAGATTCGTCAGCACGTCGTTCGGGACTCCGCCCAGGCGCATCGTGGAGGCCTGCGAGATCAAATTGTTGTTGACTATAGAGGAGAGAAATGGGTCAGTATCCTAGCACAGCGCTTCGGGAGAAAGGTGAGGGCAATACATACTCTGATTGTAGTAGAGCTAGTAGAGAGGATACCACATGAAGACGGCGCATGCGCTGAAACCTCGAGAGACCTCATCGACCCCTAAATATACACGCGTTAGTCAATGCCGAGTTAAAAGAGCCGCGCGGGCGGAGCCGTAAAGAGCCACTTACAGGCATCGTTGAAGTCCATCCACTTTGGCTTGGAAGCCGCGTCGAACTTGGGCGGCTTGACCGATTCCCAGAAAGTGCCGTCATGCAGTTGTCTTGACGGGGTTAATAGACCAGCGGCCCTTGTTGGCAATGCCGAACAGCTTGAACGCCTTGCCCAAGACAGATCCCTGAGGCTCAACACGCTTGTAGCGCTTGCGGCCGTACATCATGACAAGCGGGCAGAGGCAAAGTATGGCTGTGGGGAGCAGGAATGACAACCAGAAGCCAACATAGTGCTCGCAATAGACCATGCCGATCTGACCGCACAGGGCGCCGATGTTGATGAACATGTAGAAGTAGTGATAAACTCTAGAAGCCGTGACGGCAGGGTCGACGATGACTCTCTCGCCCGTCTTGAGGGTCTTGACAGTCATGACATCCATCTCAAACTGGTCAACAATCAGAGGGTTAACCCTGGGCTTGAAGCCACCAGTGCCGAAACCCATGGTGATGATGCCGATGATGAAGACGGCTATGGATCCATTGGGGTTCTTGATGACGGGGGGGATGGCAGAGATGACGAGAACGACGTAGCCGACGAGATCGATGGCCAGCGCAAACGCAATTGTCTTGAAACGGCCGAGGTAGTTGTCGGCGACATAGGCGCCGAACAGAGGCATCGTGTACTGCCAGAAAGAGTTGAACGTGGTCAGGTCAGTGGCGGTGCGCTGGCCAAGACCGAGGGCGCCAGCCTGGCCGCCGCCTCCATCAGCACCTGTCGTCGACCCTATGGGAAGGGCGTGCTGGATGAAGTTGGTGAAGCAGGTCGTGGTTCCATAGTATGAGAAACGCTCAACTGCTTTGACAAAGGCAATCGAGTAGATGCTCCACGGATCTTCTCGGAGACGCGCCGCAGAGTCAGCAGCTCCTCGTCTGTGGAAGGTCTGCCATCGACACTGAGATCCGTCTTCTCGTACGAGGGAGCTGGTGACAGAGCCGGTGGCGCAGAAACCTCCCCCTCACAAAGTCGACGCCAGGGTCGAGGGTCGTTGGATCCTCAGCCATGTTGGGCGAATGGCACGAGCAGATAGTCGATTATCTGGGCTCGGCCTGGGGAACAGTGATCTGGGGATCTGAGGATTTGTGGACCTAGGGATCGATCTTGGAAAAGTTCCCCGTCTCGCAAGTGCCACAGAAGTCGGTGGTCCAGTCGATGGAGGAAAACGGTTCTCTGCTGTGGCTTGTCTTGGGAATGGGTAACGCGGAGAGAGTGCGACATATATAAATAATGGAACATGTCTCAGCTGCGGCCACGCCTGGCTCCACAGCATGCTTGAAATCCACCATCTGCGCCCTGGCAGGAAACCAGCCTTCGATGATAAGGGCTCTGATGGTCGGAGGTTAACCAAATGCTGCCGGAGACGGGGCTGGCCAGTTCCCTGGAGGCCGACTGTGAATGGAGCTGATGAACCGGGCATGCTTTTGGGCTGTTACCTAGACGCCCACGTTTACCTAGAGCCTCCCTCCACTCAGCCCAGCATAACATAGCATCAACGCGGCTAATGAGCACTCGAGTCTGCAGGCAGAGAAAGGCAGCCTCACACTCAGCAAGACGCGTTGACAACAGAAGAAGAGATTGGGCTCGGACTATTGCGTGTGCGATACCCGCCAAATTGTAAGCATGAAACACACTGCTTGCATAGACATGTTATTTCTCACCGAGGTCAGCCACTGTCTTTGCCGGGTATGAGTGACTGGGGAAGCCAAGCCGGGGCCAGGGGCTTTCAAGGATCACACCCGTTCCACTTGGTTATGTATTGCCAGGCCTCTTTTTGGGACTAAACAGCAGTTTAAGTGCCGTCCGTACCTGGATCGATCTAGGCCAGCCTGGCGTGCCCGGTAGAGCCAGAGCAAAGCCGTTGGCGGATGCTCTGAGATTCTTGCTAAGGATGCCGAGCCGGGACTATGCTGACAAGATGGTGACTACCGAGGAGCCGCATAGCGGCGTCAAGTGCCCGCGCCCTTCGGCTCGGCTCTGGATTTAGTTTGAAGACTTTTAGTTTGAATCTAGCTCGAGGCACCAGAACATGTCAAGAAGTTCATGAAGAGCCGAGGGTTGGGGGCATTCCCATGGAACTCCATCAGTGCATGACTTCCCCTAATCTCGAGCAAACAGGCATGCAAGCGTTGCATAGATAGATATTGGGTAAATACCTGTCGAGCAAGCTTCTCGCGCCGCATACGAGCATTGCGCACAATGAAAGTTATGACTCCCAACCTGGAAGTTGACTGATGCTCGCAATGACCAGTAAATTTCGGTGCGATAGGGCACCAAGGCAAGTAAGGGAACCTGGACAATGGTAAAATGAAATCCGGCACCAAACTTTGTGCCTGGCCTAATTTTCGTCCCGTCTTTGTGTTGTCGCTGGGATGGGGGCTGCGAAAGATAGAAGAAACTTTGGCCCACCGAGCAGAGATTTCCACTCGACCGCTGCGATCTCGGGGAGAATCTGAACCATCGACTGTCGAATCTCGAGTGCGAGGAAGCTGCACCCCACCTTGGCTGCGGAGACGGAAACACAAAAAGAAACCTCTTTCCCGCTTCTCGGGGAATTGGTCATTCCTCCCTTCCATCTGGGGCCGGCACTTCTGTCGTTCTTGCCTTGGGTGCTTCCAGGTTGGCTGTTTGTGGTCAGCCGGTACAGTACCCGACCGCCACCGCCACCGCCACCGATGCAGCTCCTGTCAATCTAGGAAAGGCACTAGGCAAGTAACGGAGCAGAATGAGCAAAAGCCTACAGTACCTCTAATATTTACCACCATAGCCAGGGCAGAGTCCAAACCATTGACAGACTCTTGTAATCAATTTTCACATGCCGAAGTACTGGGGAGATCAATTAACCCAAAATCTTTGTATAAAAGAAGAACGTTTACGTGCCACCCTCCCCCTTTTCCCCACGATTCCCA